CTTTACTTTTTTTTTTAATATCTCTTTTTTTTTGCATAGGTTTCGTGTAACGATTATTTGCAGTGTATTTTCACGCTTCAGTTTCAACTTTTGCTTTGTTTAAGCAGACAAAGAGGAGGAAAAAAGTGGAGAACAGGAAAAGCGTTGTTCATACTTTTCAGTCAACATACCACTTGACAAATTTCTTCTTTTATTTCTGTTACCATGACTGACAGAGTTCAAGTGTTTAGGTCAAATGAATTTTTTTACATTAACTCTTTATACATATTTGGCGGAAGTGTTTGTTCAAGATTTAAAAAATTGATTTGAATTTAAGAAACATTTTTTTTTTACTATTGCCATAACTAAGCAAATATCCTACTTTTTTTTCACACTTTGAGTAATTAGAAATGTTGCTAAACTGTAAATCTTAAGTGAGTACGACAAACTATTGTAAAAATTGAATTATCAAGGAACAACTTTTCAGTTCTAAACAGCTGATTTGAAATGTAATTTGTTTTACATCGTGGCATAACCAATTTAGACCAGTTAAACAGATTATATACCAAATGTATAAGGTTTATCGTCTAAGTGAAAAAAACAACATAATGAATTTGGCGGGTTTCAGATTAGACAAGCATCAAGTTCAAGCATTTCCGGTTATCCTCTTCGACATGACAATGCTGAACGGACTTCATCACGAAAACTTTTCCAAAGAAGCAAGTAAATTTTTGAAAAAAAAAATCAACTGTTACTCGTTGATTATACCGTGCGAATTTTGATTATTCTCTTTCGCATCTCTTTTTTCCTTTACTATATCCGCTAACCATTCTTTCAAAACATTTATTGTTTTGGTAAATTTAGAACATCAAATGACAACAAAAAATAACACTTTTCTAGTTCACTATAAATTTAACCATTTTATTTATAATTTTGGTAATAAATGTGTAATGGATGTCGACAGTAAGTCTTTTTCAGCAATTAAATTTTGACAGAATTTTTGTAATCACAGTATTTATCTGTAAAGATTTTTTGGTTTGACTTTTTTGATTTTAATTACCTAAGTGTACAGTTCTTCTAGTTCAAATTTTGCTCATTCCAACCTCCTTACTCTGTTAAAATACTATTATCTTGTATTTAATTAAACTGGCAATAGCTGAAACACAAACACGAAAGGTTATCTATATGTAGGCATCCAACTGTCTTGATAACTATCCTAATTTATTTCATTTTTGGCGTAGAAAATGTTGAAAATATTAGCAAAGGCATAAAATGCAGGATAGACGATGTTCTGTTTTATATCATGCATATTGCTTGATTTACAAGAAGCAATAAGTGCTGTAAGTTTAGCTAGACTTTGACAAACAAGTTCTAATCGCTTTTTTTTTTAATTCAAGGAGAGGTTTGAATAAATCTATCAAATGTTTGTTTCATTAATGCTCTTTTTGCTTATTGATTTCTAAATTGACGAAGAATGACGGACCATCGTCCTTCCTGTCACATTTGAGTTCTATTCCAAGACAGTAACGCTACAGTGTGGTTAGCACACTAAGTTACTTGGATTGCCAATTGTTTGGACATTTTTATGCCAACAGTGAGAAGATCATAAGTTACTACCATAGTTAAACATCTTTACTACTTTTTTCTCAGGTATTTCTGTAGCTTAAAATGTCTACATTGTCTAATTCAGGTCACCAGCTGGTGAGTCTTTACTCAAAAGACAAGAAGCACTTCTTGATGATACCAGCGAGTCGGAATCAGAGAATGAACCAGTTTTTGTCATTTGTCGAGCCAAAGAGATTCCTTGGATTGAGCCGAGAAGTCGGTTTGAGAAACCAGTGGCTTACAATTATGATAAGCTGCCTGATGTTAGCAATCTATCAAAAAAGTCAAACATTCCTCCAGCCTCAACCTCAACCGCTCATAACGGCGGTTTCGCCCCAAAAGAAAAATGGTTATTAGGTTTTTGTTTCATACTAAAAAAAACATTTTTTCGTGTCCAGTTCTAGGTTTTACACTAACTTAATAACAATAATTGACTGTTATCATACGTATTTCTAGAATTTGATAAGTTTTAAGCGGTCAGGTTAAAGCGAGACATATAATTGACTGACAAAAAATAGTTTACTTTTCTGTTGATAAATGTTCAGTGCCTCAAAAATAACAATGCAATTTTTGCAAATTCTTTGAACCACCTTTAAAACTCACTTTGCCGATAAATACTGCATCAAATTACTACAAGAATATATAGAAGAGTTTTTAAATAGTATTTCATTGTTCTGAAGATTAGTAAAGAACATCGTCAGTGGTACTTGTGAGCTATGAAGATAGGTGAACATAGAAAAATTTTCCTTGTTAGTCGGTTTGTATGACGCAAGAAGCGTTGCTAACTTCTATAGTTCTGTCTTGTCATTTTTCAGTGCTTATTTGTTTCGCGGTGATTCCTACATAAGGTCTCCAGCAGTTGAAATCACAAGCATCGAGGAGGACAAACCTTACTACCACGATTCATACTGTCCTATTCACGGATCACGAAAACGATTCCGGAGACCACAGCTCAAAGACGTGGGAAGTTATCATCTGACAAGCATTGAAAGTGTTGAGATGGAACCAACTTCAGTTATTCTCTTAAGGTTAATGAAAACATTAACCTTCTCACTCTTCAATTTTCTAAATTTTTTATCGCTCTCACTACAGTTTACGAATTTCTGTAATAAAGCATTGTATTTTCAGTCAAGCCTACGCGGCAAAAATGATTCGAAAGAGGAAACGAGCAACACTTTCAGGAGTAGCTAGGTTTCGCAACAGAAAAGAAAAACACAAAATTGAAATGAATTTATGGATTATGAGCGTTGCCTTCCTCTTTCTTTTCACAGCATTCCACGGTCTCCAAAATTTACAAACTTCCGTTAACAAGCGGCTAGGATTTGATAGTTTGGGGTAGATTTTGCTTTGAATAGGAATTTGATGACAATTTTGTCTACTAGCCTGTACCAAGCAGTCAAGTCTCATATTACTACAGCTTAACAATAAGGAAGGAGCTGTTTGTCAGCTTCAATGACATGTAAGATTGTAAACGGTAGATTAAAATTTTGCAGCGTTTATTATCTTACGGTGGCAATATCATCGCTATTTGTTCCTCCATTCATGCTCAATCGATTAGGATGCAAGCTGACACTAATTGTATCATCAGGAATTTATATGATCTATATGGTCGCCAATTTCCTTCCCAAGTTAGCCGTTATGTTCCTTTAAATTCTTATTCAAAAAATAATGTTCGAGAATTAGTCAGCTTTTTTCCAGATATTATTCACTAATACCTGCAGCAATACTTGCCGGTTGCGCTGGAAGTTGCCTATTTGCGACAAAATGTGTGTATATCTCAGAAAGTGGCCGCCGTTTCGGGCAGCTTAATGTTGAGGACCAAAACGTAGTTACTGTTAGGTTGCAACTTTTGCTATTCAATGATAAATTACGTCAACTTTTATTTTTAATTCACGAGTAGAATTTTCAGGTTCTTTGGTTTTTTCTTTACAGTTCTACATTTCGGCCAAGTTGTTGGTAATGTCTTGTCTTCATTCATCCTGACATTAGCTATCGAATACGTCAAGCCAGCTGACGGTGCTGAAAAGTCGTAGGTCATTTATAACACTTTGAGATTTTCGAGCAACAACTTTACAGTTGCCTTCAATAGTTTTGAAGTATCTTGTATTAAAAAACATCCTATTACTTACCTCAACTTTCACCATCATTCCATAGTTTTTCTACCAGTAGCCGCCAAACCATCTTACCGATCGACTTTGATTCAAAAGCCTTTTTAAATCAAGCAAAAGTTTGTCTCAGACGTTTTTGCTCCGTTTTTCAAGCCACTTTTGACAAACATCTGAATGTATTATGATATTAAGGTGTGGCTACTTATTTGAAGAAGATTCTCCATTCCTCAGCGAACAAGCGAAAGCTAACCTAAAACAACCTCCTCGAGGTGCATTCCTTGCTTTATGTGGCGCTTATTTTTGCTGTACAGTCGTTGCTCTACTAATTGTTTCCATGTTCCTAAACTCTCTTCGGAAGGACAAAATTGCCAGGTATAGAAACTGATAAAAATTTTTAGTTTGTACATGCTAATTTTCAATGTCCATCATAAAAAATTAAACGTTTGTTAGCTTTCCTGTAAAGAGAAGGCGTGAAAATTACATATTTAATCATTTTGCAAAGAAATTTTGAAAATTTTTGCAAAGGTCGGCCAAGATGAATTTAGCTCCGAATAGTTCTTAAAACAATATGACTTTCCGTGTATTTTCAAAAGTAATCAGACGAAAAATGAATTCTCTTTTTTTTTTAAGTGAAGCTGTCCGTCGTTTAGAATTAACAAAAGTGCAAGCAATGAGCGGGAAAGACCTTTCAGTTAGCAAAGTTGTAGGGAGAGAATGGCAAAATTTCCAAGCTCACAATTCTTCATAGTACACAGGGTTTCAATAGAAACTAAAAATCAGGTCCTGAAACAGTAAGATGCAATGCAAAATTAATTATTTCCCTTTTAACCTAAGATGTTTAAATTACCAAATTTACTTACCTTATACTTACTTTAAGCTCTCAAACGCTTCTTTTATAGCGAACAAGCCCCCCAGTATTCCACTGTTGTCCTCAAGACTACTGTTTCTAATTTTAAAAAGGCAAAACCGTTACTCCTTACACCACTAACAATATTCAATGGACTCGAACAGGCATTTCTAATTGGTTATTACACAAAGGTAATTCGATAAACAAACAAGAAACCCTCCAAAATCTCTGTGGCACACCGTACTGCGGTGAATATTATTGAAACAAGACAAACACTTTTTGTTCGGAGTTTTTCAATAAACAAGCTGCTTTTCCAGTCCTTACAGTGTCTAAAACCTTAGCTGTTCTAGGCATATGTCGCTTGCGGGCTCGGAATAAGTCAAATTGGGTACGTTGTAACATCATTTGGTATCGCTGACGCATTATGTAGCCTATTTTTCGGACCGCTCATGAAACTGTTCGGCAGAATGCCACTTTTTGTCTTTGGCGCTGTTGTCAATATGCTGACTATAATGACACTGATGGTGAAGTAGTTTCCTGATTAAGCATAGTATTAAAGGTTAAAAACAACTTGCACCACACAACTTCGTCCACAAAGCGCTCATGCTCAAGAAAGCCACCAAAAAATTTAAGTACTTTAACTGACGCTCAACACATTTTTGCTCCTGTAACACTCCCACAACAAATTATAAAATGCCGAGCAAATTTTTAAATTTACTGTAAGTGCCTGAAATACTAGGTACTTACGACGACTTTATACAAAATACCTGTAAAAGTACAACTAAAATAACGCATTCGTCAACCCATACAGGAATCAAATGTTCCATCACGTCACAACCATTTCAGATTTGGCCACTGAATCCCGGCGACACGGAATTATTCTATGTGATTGCGGGAGTCTGGGGAATGGCTGACGGTGTGTGGAATACGCAACTTAACGGTAATGCTAAGAAAATTTCTTTTTTACTCCTTCCTCTTTCCAATTCAGCAAACAAATTAAGTTCGCATTTTTCTATTAGCTCTGATGCTGTAAAAACTCTGTCTACAAACTTTCCATTAGTTTCTCACAAGCTACACATTCAGGACTCTGGGTAGTGCTTTCTCGAAGCAGCCTCGAAGCGGCCTTTGCTAACTACCATTTTTGGGAGTGTTCTGGAATAGCTTTTGGCCTCTTCCTAACTCGTTTTGCAAATATATCTCAAGTTCTAATTATCTGTCTCATCGTACTACTTATTGGCATCACTGGCTACTTTATTGTCGAATTTTACGAAGAATTCACGGCAAGTATTCTTAGTATTCAACTTGAAAAATGAATATCTACTAGCATTATTCAGGAATACATGAATCGCTTATCCATCACTACTGAAAGAAATTCCAACAACGGAAAAGAGCCGACAGCTACTGAGAATGAGCCCCTCCAGACTAAAATTTCAAGGCAACCATTCACTCATTCAAGCCACAGCTGAGACAGTGGAAATCTAAAGGAGTAAAATAACAAAAACAATTCTTTTAGCTACTTGTGAAGCATAAATATGTCGCGTAAAAAAGCTAGTGGAAAAAACTTTCACTGTAATAAAGTTTCTGACGAAACGACTTTCAAGTGCTCACAACTAACTAAAGGTAAATTTTAAGACTAATACTTACACATTTTAACCTGAAAAAACTTGCCTAATCTCTTCTCAAAACCCTGAACATCTGAAAGAAGCTTCCTCATCTTCTGATTTTAGCTAAACGAGAAAAAAATACAGGATTTTTCTGAAGGAACAACTGCATTCCACAACGTAAAGGTTCTCAGATTATGAAAACGAGTTGTTGCCAAGCAAATAACAAAGAAATGAAACAAAAAAATCCCAAGAAAATTTGAGAATTACAGTAAAGATATACTGCGAACATGAATTAACAAGTGAAAAAGCTCATAATACAATAAAAGCCAAATTACAAAAAGAAACGTAACGCCAGAAACTCTCAAAACCAGAAAAGTCTACAAAAAAATGAATTAAGTTTATAATTAGTAGTCCCAGAGTCTGTTCATTTTTGGAAGCACTAAAGAAAAGGCATAATATTTCAGTGAATTCGTCAAGCAACGTAAATAAGTGAAAAATGAAGATATATATTTACAGCAAACACTGCTAATATAAGAAAACATAATCAATGAAAAACCCTTCTACTTAAAAAGCGAACATGATCTTAAAAAATTTCTGGTGATTTTTCTTTGCCTGATATGCGAGGATTTCTCTTTTTAGGCCCAGACGAAGAACTCTCAGCCTGGAATAAATCCAGAGATAATTACACCCTAAAGAAATGCTACAACGTATGAACAAAACACACATTAAAAAAGTACCTTAAACATAATCCTGTCGGCAAATGTCTTTTTCGGTTTCTGCTGGAAGAAGCACAACCGTTCCGGTTCCTCGAAAACTGGGAACTGTTGGGTCATTTGCGGCATTGGTTCATGCTGTGTAGGATTTTGTGAAAAAAGAAAACTGTCGTTATTCAGAGGTGGGAACAGCAAATTTTTTTCTATTTCAGATGGTCTAAAAATGTATATGTTGAATATTGAAAAAAAAAGCTACATCAGCATTCAAAACAACTTATTCGATTACGAAGTACAGCTTAAAGCAAAAACAGCATTCTTTTTTGCACTTTGCAAAGTTAAGACAGCGAAGACTTAAACTGAATGTAAAGGTGTGGAAAGCGAAACTTGGATGTACCAAACAGACATATGAAAGAACACAAAAAAGTCCCATAAAAAAGAGCAAAATTCCATTTTAAAACCGTTTGCTGCTTTCTAAAGCCGACCGATAAAACTGTAAAATTTTAGCCCATCTATTGCTCGGTGAGTAGAAATCAATAATAACAGCAAATTAACCAAAAAAACGAAATTTATCGTGTAATTCGAACAGAACCTCATTGGCATTGCCTTCCTTTTCGTCCCCCGACCTGAAATAACAACATCTGTTTGGGTCCTTAGAGTTTTGCTGGACCGCTGAGCAGCATCAAGCGAAGATCCTGTTGCACCACCTGCGACCAACCTGAGTTATTTAGGAATTTACATCAAGACCAGTAAAATAATTTTTAAAGAATTATTTTTACTTGACTGCCAAAATTTGACACAGAAATCGATAAACTCCCGAAACTTTCTAACTCTAAAACGGCTGAAGGTCCCTCTTCAGAAGCAGCCTGCATAAGATCTTGGCCAGCGACGTCTTCCCCAACATAATCTTCCAAACCCACATCTTTCTGAGTAGCGCAAAAATCCTCTACCGTCCTCTTCTGCTCATCCGGTTCAAAAAGATCACATAACTTGTGACTGTCCACTCTAGTAGCATCTAACTATAAATAAACGAAGTAAAAGTATAAACAGTCTTTGAAGAAATACCTGTACCAATCAGACAAACGCTGAAAGGTAAGGAACAACATATATTATGAGCAATTACAGGAATGTAACTTTTTTTTTTTCAAGATAACTGTAATAAAAAAAGTAGATTATTTCTTAAAATGAAAAACACCTTTTTTATATCCTCTTGTAATTGCAAGCCAAGCTTGAACAACTGGTTTAAAAAATTTGCTGGCGTAATTTCAGATGCATTTACTGGCATCGCACAAAGTGGACACTGAGGGAAAGAGGCGTAACATATGGTATTAACACAAGACCTAAAATCTTGCAACTACTTCCAGCTGAAAAATACAGTTATAATATATTTAAAACTTCAATAAAGCGAAAAATGGATAACCAAAAATAGTGACTGGAACTATAAAATCGGAACAATTCGCAAGATCTACTATAAGGTATCTGTGCTTTAGCGATAATGAGAGGAGAAGCCTTACCAGCAGAAAACATGTTTGCAAGAGGTCCCAACAAACTGCAAATTATCATTTGGGAGCAAACTAAAACATTAAATTTTAGATCCTGCTTGTTTCAAAAAAAAAAAAAAAAAAAAAAAAAAAC